CACGAGATTTTAACGTGGAAAACCCTTTCAATGTGAAAGAGTAAAAAACCACGAGACCCTTCGGTCCAACCAACTTCACTATCACCAAATTGAGAGTACAAATGCACAATATAACAACACCACAATGATATCTAGCCCTTAACAACACTACGAAGGCACTAGAATCAAAATAGAGGAACAAAAGTGCAAGAAATCACCAAAAAAACAGCAGCTGGTGCGAAGCTCATAACTTGAGATTGAACCGTTGAAATTCGATCTCCACCGTTCAGATTGAAGCTCCACAAGTCCTTAGACTCCTCCTAAAATTTCAGCTCGATCGGACAAGCTTTGGACCTCCGATCGACCAAAAAACCAGGTCTGCATTTTTCTGAAAATGGCAGCGGCTATCTCACTTCTTGCGGCTGTTTTTCTCTCTTTTTGTGCGTGAATATCCGTGTTGTGGTAGTAGACAGCTGCCAAACTTTTACTCTCAAAAATATGTGGACAAAAATGCATTGAAGACTTATCCTCCAAAAATATTTGGGCCTTTTAATTTAAAGATGACACATAGTTGGGAGCCCAAACCCAACGGTTCCGTTGTCTTCCTCATTAGACAAGCATCTTCCGAGTGCTGACCTTTGTTTTCTTGCAAGTGGAATGAATCTTATCCGTACTCTGAGGAAGAGGAAGACCCAGGCCCTCCCACAACTCAAATGAAAACGCCCAGTCACCGAGTGGGGCTCAAAAACTCAGCGAGTCCGCTCCGGTTACTGTCCTCGTCCCAATCAAGGCTCCGGGAGACGTGATTATAAGGAGGAGGGTCATTAGGGTAGAGGACGAGGAAGAAGGTCCATGTTCTGACATTCTAGAGCCGGAAACAGTGTTGGCCGAGCGCACACCCAAATCCAGGGGCAAGAAGTCCATCGTCCAAGGAACCATCGATGTGGAGGGCGGTAATCACGCAGAGGCCAAGGCGAGGTTCTTGACGTCTACACTGAAGGATGAGGACAAAGATCTTTCGTACTTGCGAAAGAATCTGGCGGAGGTAAGAGAAATAATACTGATCAATTAACTGCGTCTTAGTGTTTATTGGCCGATTGACCCTGTTTCAGCAGGCGACGACCAATTTGGATGCTATGAGTGCTCGCCGCTCCAGTGCGGGGTTCGTCTCAGGGGCCAACTTCCTTTCTTCCTTGGAGGCAGAGCTTGGCCGCCTGAAGAAGGTCGCTCAGGCCTAGGGTGAATAGGGGTCTGAGCTAGCTCAAGGCCGTATCAAATTCGAAGGAGGCGATCAAGCTATAGGAGGTGGTTAAGGAGGTCGAGGAGTCCATCTCCCAACTCAACAACGTGATGGCTGCCCAGCAGCGGGACGCCGATGAGAAGGTGGCTGGCCTCAAAGGAAAAATGGCTGTTCTTGAGGAGAAACTTCAACTGTCGGAGGAGAGGAAGGCTGAGTTGGATATCAAGCTTGCAGAGGCTATCTCTCGCTAGAAATTAGACGAGCTTGAGAAGTAACAAGCGTCGCCATGTTCGTAAAGTCCCTTACAATCAAGGAGGTGTTGATTGAAAATTTTCCCAAGTACTTCAAGGAGTGGTCGAAGGCCGAGGCCGGCCTGCTAATGACTGCTGACGACGGTGAGAGATGGTTCGAGGGCAGCGCCTATCATGCGATTGAGCTCGTCCTTCAGCGTGTTAGGAGAGTAAATCCCTTTTCCCCTCCAGAAGTTGATATCCTGAGGATGCATGATCCGGATTTGAACAATGAGCTCGGCCCTAACCTTGACTACATGGGTACTCCGACGTCAGATGAAGGTCTTCAAGCTGATGGTGCTTAGACTGCACATGTTCCTCCGGCCAAGGCTTTCCCAAACTTTTCTCTTTTTTTTTAAAGCTGTACTCTGCCCTTCCTTGTAGTGCTTTTGATACTTATGTTGAATTCTGAAATGGGTGCTTGTATCTATGACTTTGGTTTTTTTATTTTGCTTCTGAAACTCTGTCTTCTAATGGCCTGATCCTTTGGTCTTTGGAATAACTTTTCAACTGCCAACCAACCCGATTTGACTTATCATAAATGTTTCTGATTACCTTAAGTGTTCATCTATCCGGCTTTTCACCTTCACCTCCTATAAATTGCCACCAGACTTTGCATTTCCTTATGCGGTTTGCTACTGCTTACTTCTCATTTTGCTTCGAGCATTTCCTTAGCGATCTGATATTGTATGAATTGAAAAAATCTGAATTTTCAAATTTGGAGTCGTTATTTTTTATTCTTTATGTTTATGATCTTTTTATATTCAAAATCGTTACTTTTTTAAAGAGTTATGCTTTTTAAACAAAACAATGAATTTGTTTTAATATTATTTCAATAATGTATGTTTAGTTTTTTGGCACGGTTTGAGTATTTAAATGATATTACACTATTCTGTTTCAAAATAGAATGATACAGAATGATTTAAAATTTATCCAATGTCAATGTCAAACCATTTAAATAAGAGTAATTGGTGATAAATTACCTACTAATTTGGGGTCATCCCATCTAGTTCGAGACAATTTATCTAGTGATTCCAGTCTAGTCCTCGTATTTGGAGACTTTTCTTTCCAAACTAAGCAAGAAAACAAAAAAAAAACAAAAAACAAACGGCAACGTTATCTTAAACCAGATAGACCGGGCAGCGGCGAATTGAAGCAGACGACGGCGATGATCGTGAAACCAGGATGTCTGCCATTGAATCACTGCCCGCAATCAGTAACCGTTCTCAAAACCCCCACTCTTAAACCCATTTTCATCTCCACTCTCGAGCCTTTCAAGCACAGATCACTCAGACGCCGTATACTAGCCGTTGTCAACCAGTCGCTTGCTAAGGAAATCCCCAACAAATCTACTCAATGGATTTGTAATTATTTCAAGGTACTGATTTTCAATCATCTCGTTTTGGATTTTTTCCCCCAATGTTTTATTTCATGGTTTTGTTCATTTTAGCTATGTGAAAGCCGAGATTCGGATTAGACTGCTGAGAGAGTGAGTTTTCTGCTCATTTCAATTTGGTCATGGCTGGGATATATGTTCAAGATAGGTTCATCCAACAATTAGTAGCTTAATTTCAGTGTCGCTTTGTATATAAATATGCAATTTTTGGACTTGGCTAGTGCTTAAGTTTGAGTTAATAAAGATAACCTGTCAATATTCTATGATTAAAAAACATTTACTTAGCCGATTAAGCAGAAGAAAACACAACTCGGTCATAAATGGATTAGGGGGTTGGCAAAATGAACATGCAATGTAGCTACTAAGACTTTGTTTACTGTGGTTTCTAGCTACCTCACATTATCACATATGATGTATAATCTACTTTTGGATTAGCTTTCTATTCCATGGGTGCCAATAAAACTATGATAGGACAAATGTGATGTTGCATTGATTGGACATACTCATGATTCAAATTTCTAGGGTTTTGTCCAGTGGTCTTGCATTGGACATATCCTTTCTTCATTTATATAATATTGATTTTGGTAGGCTTACAATATCATTCACATGGCAGGAAATGGTGGCGTGTCGGATTCCCACAATGCCACTTGTTATTGCTAATGCGTTGTTGATATCGACGCCATTAGAAGCCATGGCAGAAACGTGTGTAGCTGATAAATCCACCATCAATATGCCATTGTTGTTGTTTGTTTCCCTTATTGGGGCAACTGTTGGAGGTATGCACTTCATCTTTTTGTACCTTCAATATTTGAGTTTGTGTTTAAAACTTTTTTCCTTTGTTTTTTTAAAAATTATTTTCCCTATTATTGGGCGGGAGCCTTTGAGGCACTGGAGTAATCTTGCTGTTGTTGTTGTACTCTACTCAATGCTGTAAAATTGGCTAGGTGTCTGCTAGGCAGTGCTCTAGAGCCTAGCTCCTAGTCAGGGGTTAATCAGGGCGAGGCGGGATTAAAATGGAATTAGGCAGAGCCTCTGTGCAAAATAAAATACTTCAGGGTGCCCGATGAGAGCCACAGCCCACATGGGTTAATCAAGGGCTCAAAGTCTTGCAAGGATCTTTACAATTGTGACTATAATCTTTTACTGAGGGGCGACCACTTTGATTGTGCGGACATGAAGAATTTTGTTGTTGTTGCTTAGAAGAAAACATGTAGTTTATTCTCAACCTATTCACCAATATTTACAATGATTCTCGTGTTACTTTTATTAGAAATATAATCACTTTTTTCGCATTCAATTTATAGTTTAAGTTATGTTTCATGTCGTGCACGTTGATTTTACGATACCAATCTGCAATGGGATAATAATGACAATATCAACTATCCCAACTTTTTTCTTTCTCATGTTGTTTTCCATGTAAGTGGAAAAAACCCCTATGAAATATCATCTCCTTAATCAATTATTCCTTCTTTAGACTGATGTGGCAGAAAAGGCATCTGGCGTTACACTTCGCCGTTATGGTTTTTCATGTGGATTTAAAATTGCCAAATGATTATAAACAATATAAAGTTATTTGCAGGACTGCTTGCTCGACAAAGACGGGGAGAATTGGAGCGGGTGAATGAACAGTTGCGTCAGATAAACACTGCTTTGAGAAGGCAAGCTAAAATCGAGTCTTATGCACCAAACTTAAGTTATGCTCCCATTGGTGGAAAGATACCAGAAACTGAAGTGATTGTAGATCCTAGAAAGCAAGAATTGATTTCTCATTTGAAAAATGGGAAGAACTTTCTTAGGAATCAAGCCCCAGAGAAGGCATTTTCAGAGTTCAAAACAGCACTTGATCTTGCACAAAATCTAAAGGACCCAATAGAGGAAAAGAAGGCTGCAAGGGGATTAGGTAAGTCTTTTCCTTTCCGTTTTCGGAATATGAAAAGACCTTTTTGTTGATTTTTACACCTTCATAAAGGACGGCCTTCTACTAAAGGCCTCAAATATAAAGATATTATATGTGTATGTGAAATTTCTGTGTACCATGTTTCCAATATTCATTGAATGGGCCTCATGCACGAACTTTAAAGACACTAGAATCTACAAAAATGAGCTAAAACATCACGGGCTTAATTGCAAGGGTTATGTACTTGGGATTCAGCTTATGTTAGCTGCCAGCATTTCCAAATTGTAAAAATACATATTTTAAAATACTTATTTAAATGGATGTTTATGAACATTTGTGCTTTAAAAGTTACTGGATATTTTTAAAAATGTTGATTAAATAAATATAGCAGTAACTGAGTTCAAAAAAAAATAATATAGCAGTAACTTGGTAAAAAATGATGGGCTGTCTAGGTTCATATTGTGGATGGGTCAGAACTGTTCAAAATGTAGTGGACTAACAAATAGTTCACAGTTCACTTAAGAGTATCCAAGTCATTCAAGTCCTAGGACATGAAAATAGGCTGTTCCAAATTTAATATGCATGTAAGTAGGTCATCCCAATTTTAAGGGCCATGAGAGTTTCTCAAACTGCAAGAGCACCAAAGTAGGTTTGTCCATACTTCAGGGGTACCATCAAATTTTGCCTTATAATAGAATAACATAACCATAAAATCACACTGGTAGAATGAATGATGTAGTTCATGAGTGTACTACATCTAGTACCCGATATTTCTTCAGTAATTTTCTTCTTAAAAAAAGGGGAATTTACCTAAATAGGACTTCCCATTTGTTTCAGGAGCATCCTTGCAAAGGCATGGCAAGTATCGGGATGCAATTAAATACCGCTCTTTGGTTCTAGAAATATCAGCAAGGGAAGGAGAGGATTCTGGGAATGCTGAAGCCTATGGGGCAATTGCTGACTGTTACACTGAGCTTGGAGATTTGGAGCGAGCGGGCAAATACTATGACCAATACATTGCCAGATTGGAAATGGATTGACCTCTTCTTCATTCACTTCTCCAGTTTCACTGTGCTCAGAACTGGTAGTAGAGCGCCAGCCCCATTGGAGACTACCAAGGTTTCCCATTTTCCTGAATGACTTTCTGAACACCTCTCTCTCTTCTCAACATGTAGTACTCATGAACTAAACACACCAAACATTGCATAGGGGATAATTAGGAGAGAAAGAGAGAGTGTGTAAGTGTGAGAGAGAGAGAGTGCCATTTCATCACTTTATGTATGATATACCCTGTTTGGCTAAATGTAATGTTACATGAAAAGTGCGATTTGTGCCCCATTTTGAGACCACATTTGACACTTAGAGACATCCGGTACTGTTCTGTCTCTCTGAATGCCTATAAGAAGGTTGGTGTCAAATGTGGTGTGCGCTTAGCATGGTTGAATGCTACAATGACATCAGGTGAGGTCGTCTTTCATATGCTTTCTAGTCCTTAGCTTGATTCGTACGTACCATGGGTGGAGAACAATGTTTTTGTTCTTTGTGGATAATTCTGGAACTTGCAACTGATGGCACCGTCTTGGGCCCCCATTTGCTACCTCAACCGGAGTTTTGGGGTAGGGGATGCGGTACCAGTTCGTTACACTGTTGGTGGTTATGCTTCTTGGCTGCTCTGGACGAGAAGGTATATGGTACAGCCGGTTGTACCTAGAAATAGGTACATCCGGGTAGTAAGTAGTACTTATTCTCACACAATTATTTCATACAATTATAGTATTCATTTACAAATAACATAATGTTCATTCTGAAACAAAGTGGTACTCATTATCAAATAAAGTAGTGTTCATTCTCAACTAAAATACCATTCATTCATTCCACTTAGTTTAAAATCAATCTCCACCTCTTCTTCTTCTCCCTCACCGAAAAGCTGAATTATTTCCGACTAAAAATTTCCCAAACCCTTCGACTCCCCGTGAAGGCTTCTTCTTCTCCACCATCATCTTCACCATCACCTTCGCATCACCACCATCTTCGTTGCTCCCCCGCTCATCGTGTACTGCCTTCTTTTTCCGATCAAACGCACCTAGGGTTTGACTCAATCGCGCTCCATTTCCGCCAGCTGTACTCGATCGAGCTCCACGCTAACCGTACAGCCGGCTGTACGATATAATTTGCGGCTCTGGACCAGTTTTTACCCCTTAAATTGTTAATTTTTTAAACTTACACTACCCATTGTTATTCCCCTATTGACTTTCGTCAAGATTTTTTTTGTAAGTAGATCAAGGAGGCGGTTCGAAGCAATGGTACTTTTAAAGAGGTTTTCTCCCTCAGTTGAAAATCATTTATGAGAACCACTCTAAGGATTTGCTATTTTCAATTAAATTCATTTATACAAAGTCCAATATCTAGTGTCGGACTTTGATTTTTCAGGATCTAATCTCAAAAGAGCAATGCTAAATTCAAAAACAGAATGGTCACAAACTCTACAAACTCACTATTTATAGTTTAAATTCTCATTTTAAAATTATTTTCGACTATTAAATATTTTTTATTGAAGTTCATAAATAGTAAATTTGTGAAGTTTGTGACAATTCTGTATGTGAACCAAACATTTCCCATCTCAAAATTTAGGACAAACTTTGTAATACTCACTTTGTTCGGATTTTGATTTCCTTGGAGTATTTTTTGTTTTTGGCTTGTTTTTTGTTTGTTTAGAATTAGCTGTTCACTTTTAATCTCTTATATAGAAATTACGGAGTATGATAAATTGCATAAAATATTTTAGAGCTATAGTATATGCATTGTTAGCATTTTAATCTCTTTTTTTAATAATGAGATTTTTAACAATGATCAAAACTAAGTTAAGTTGGCATTCTCAATCTCTAGTCCACACTTCAGCTTATAAAGTTAAAACTTAATTCTGCCTAAAATTAGAAATTTACACTCTAGTTAAACTTTACAATAAAACTTCAAACTAGCTAAAATTTGAAATTTCACACTCTAGTTAAACTTTACAATGTCTCAACATTTTTATATTTTATCTTTAAACTCACCTATAAAAAAACCCTCTGTTATGTGTTATATTTGACAAATTATATCATATGTTTTGTATTTTAAATAGGTTATATTTAAACTAGACCGATGTTATAATATGACACTGATGTCATATTATGAGCTCAAATAGGGCACAAACACTGCAGTGTCGGGTAAAAAGTAAAATGCACCCTCGAAAAGTAGAAAAAAGGTAAAGTGCACCCCGACTTCTCCCAAATATCATAATCCACCTTCAAAACTTGTAGCTCTTTCCACTTCACACTCAATCATCAAACACCGTCAAATAAACTAACAAGGCTAGGGTATTAGCGTCAGTTGTAGCAATGCCAAACATAAAAGAATGCAGTAAAAAGAAATAAGAATATCAATCTTATTTGGTTTCTCAAATCCACATTGCAAACCCAACAAAGCATACCAATCAATTGGATTATTAAATCTTATTGCACAACCAGTTCACAAAAAAAATGGGAATTCAACATGCCCCGTCAGTTAATTGAAATTACCTAGTCACCAGCGGCTTCGTGGGTATTTGTATTGGTCAATTTCAAATCTATTTCCACAAACAGCAAAAAAAAAAGGAAAAAACAAATATACATATAAAAAACCACAAATAACAAACACAAAACTACAGAAAAAAATGCAAAAAATAAACGGCAAAAAGAAAACTGAAAAAAGGAGAAAAACTGGGGAAAAAGGAAAAAAATACCTACTTTCAATTATTAGCAAAAAAAAAAAAAGTAAAACACCGTACCTGAGATGAAGATCGGCAATGGGAGATGAAGATGTGCGTCCTAGATAAGTGAGATCCGAAGAAGAAGAACCGTGGAAGAAAGAAAAAAACGGAAGAGGAGAAGGGATCAAGGGGATAGAGCAGAACGAGAATAGCTCCAGAGGTTAATATTCTTGCAGTTAACGGCAATGGATGGTAGGGGATGGTGGAAGGTTAGATGGAAGCCATTATAACTTTTGAGGGTGCACTATGAAATTTAGAAAAAGTGAGGGTGCAAATTACTTTTTTACTATTTTTTGAGGGTGTATATTGAGATTTACCCCTGCAGTGTCAGATGTGGAGACACATACATTTAGTATCTTCTTTCTCAAGTAATGACAATATGTTCTGCAATCCAACTGTTAAGAGGCTAGTGATGAATCTTGTGCTGTTGGTTTCCTTGCTGTTACAATTCAAGTCACCAATGTGCTGTGCAACAAATTGGAAACACGAAAGAACAAATGTACACATAAACCTTTCATATCTACTACTTTGAACACCGGACTAACGGAAAAATTCTCAAAGCTAAAACACTGCATCTGATCCAATAGAGATATATATCTACAACTTCCCTTTCTGCGTTGATTTCGTGCTTCATGTACCACTTCTTTAACCTGAGACAAAAATATAAAATGGAAAAATTACAGCACATGAAATGGAGGAGGAAGTTTGTTACCGGTTATGTAATGATACCAGATCATCTGTTAAGAATCCATCCACTTATTTGTTAAGAATCCGCACTCCCAATATTTGTTACAAGGACGTTCTCTTCTCGCATCTGGTCCAATGGGGTTGTATCTTCAGCTTTCCTTTTCTGCATTTAATTTGTAATTTATTTAATACAAAGACAGTTAAAAATGAGTACATCAAATAATGGAAACTGTACACACCTTGCATGTTGTAGCATTGTGTCCGGCATCCTGACAAATGCCACACTTTTGTTGGCCACTCATTGCGACCTCATGAAGACTAGATTTCCACCACTTGTTTTTTTCTTTTCGACCCTTTGTCTTCGAAACATAGGGGTTTAAAAGCACTTGCAAACTACACCGTGTTCTTTCAGGTTCGGGCAAAGTGGGATTTGAAGATACACCCGAAGCCTCTGCGCCATCACCATCGAGATCATTTTCTCTCGCATGCATGAAACTTTCAATTTTATGGATTCCATCTTGGTACATTGTAGTTGCCAAATGATAGGTCACTTCATCCCTAGAAGCAAGACTTGCTATTTTTTCGGCATAGTGATTTAAATTAAGCACTCTCTTCATAACTTTACTCTTCTCATCTGCATTGGGATAGATAAATACATCTAAAGGCTGACTTGCGTCTTTACACCATCGATGCAATATGTACGCTTCCGGAATCCGAAGGATATTTTTGCAGTTAAATAACTTCAAAATGTGACGACATAATATACCATTCCACAAAAATAACCCGCAAGAACAGCTCACTGTATTAACAATGCCTTCATCTAAGGATTGCATATCAATAACTACGACGTAGCATTCTTTTGGGTTAGTAACATGTCGCACAATGTACTCCTCACCTGGGCCAACATAGTCTTTTACTTTTACGTACTTGTACCTATCCACTTGGACCAATTCTGAGTAAAATTCTCGGTACATATTGCGAGTATATACCTCAGCTGCGTGCTCCTCAAGGAAGGAGTTTCGATCACAACTCCTATTTTTGTGTCGACTTTCATAATCTTCATGCCGCATCATCTCGTACAGATGTTCCATAAGAATATCATATTCCTGAATAAATTCCAGTAGGGAGGACCCCCAATTCATTTTTGAGCTGAATAGAGAGTTCACAGTTTTTACTAGTTGACTTGCTTGCATCCCTGCAAACAAAACATTAAATGTAAAATTGGGTTTGTTAAAATTAAACGAAATAGTTGAGAGACAAAATTAATTATAAATGTATACCTGCAAAGAAAGTGTCTACTGTGAACACAGGGACCCACTCTTCTCGAATGTGAAAGAGATTTTGTAGCCATTCATTTCCTTGTAGTCCATATTTATTTATCATTTCCAACCATTGCTCATCATAGTGAGCTCTGGACAATGACGTTTGAATGAGAACTTTTAGCTCTCTTTTGAATTCTTTATATTTGTTGTCAACCACTGGAAGATTCTCCGGGAAATTCTTTAGTATATGCCAAATACATAATCTATGTCGAACGTTTGGGAAAACAACTTTGACAGCATTACACACCACACTATCTTGATTGGTGATCATAGAGACGGGCTCTTTCTCCTCCATTGCTTTTAGCCATGTACGAAATAACCATTCAAACGTCTCTTGTTGCTTATCCATGATTAAGGCACATCCAAATAAGATGTTTCTTTTGTGATTATCAACACCAATGAAAAGGGCTAAAAGCATCTCACATTTGTATGTGTGGTATATCGTTTCGAAGACTATGGCATCACCAAAAACTTTGTAAGCCATCCTAGATCTTGCATCAACCCAAAAAAAATTCGACATCTTGCTTTCATCATCAATTTGCACGCGATAAAAGAATCCGGGATCCAACTTTGATTGATGGGTACAGTATTCAAGAACTCCTTGTGCATCATCAATATCGAGAATCTTATCTTTCATGTGGTTATAACAATTACGTTGACTACTGCCTTTACCAAACGTAGCCACCTTTCCTATTGTTGTGCCATGGTCTTTGAACATTTCAATCATGAGTTGGTCGCTTTCGTCTACAACCTCTCCGTTGGGCGTGGAGTGCGCCTTGTTTGGAGTGACAATACTATGATTGTGTTCAGGCGTGAATGACAAGATAATCCACTTTCCAATTTTAGGTTCGAATTTCAAACTAATTGCATGTTGGCAACCAACTCTCACCGAAGCCGTTTTTCTTCTTTTCTTACCATCCACATCGACCTGTTTACATTTGACGGAGTTGAATCCTGCTTTTCGACAAACCCACCTCAAGTACTTGTCTCCTCTACTAGTACGCTTTCTTGCATAAAATCCATTAGAGGAATTGTATGCTTTGTAGAGTTCCTCAAAAGCTTCAACACTATCAAAAGTCATGCCAACTACCGGTGTATTTCTAGTTGGTGTTGATTGAGGCTCTTCATTGATCACTTTTGTGGGTGTTGATGATGACGCACCTAAACCAAGAACTGTAATGGGAGTGCGTACCTCTGGCAATTCCACAGCATAAGTTTCTTGCACCAAATGGAGGTCAGAGTTTATAGAATTCACGGACTGCTCCATCCCTTCAATCCGGATAAACTGGTTTCAAAAAAATCAAGCAAACAAAAATTTGTGCATCTCTGGGCCAAAATGAAAACAGAAAACCTAAAAAATCTTAACTGAAAATGCCAAATTTTCATCATTGTTAATCTGTTTGATTTAACCTAAATTCCAATATTAATCACAATGTGAATATTGAAACGCTTCTAAAGGCGGTTGGCATATTACCGTTGTCTCCGTCAGAGGAAGGAAGAACTGCTCGCAAGCTTCAGGAGCTGCTGATTAGTCGTAGCCGGGAAGCCTGAGAACGCACGGAGGAGGGCCGCAGGTTCGCGGTTGAGGAGAGTGACGGGGAGACGTTTGAGGCCGCTGGTTCTTCTTCCGGCGGTTTCAAGGGAGAGGCTCCCTGGCGGGGGCGCAGGTTGAAGGAGGACGGAGTTTACAACTTTGAGAAAGAACCGTACTGACAGGTCAGGTCTTCTCTCGATAGGAATGAGCTAAGGCCCAGTTCAACTTCTTTTTCTATCTAATCTAATTTTTTATAGGAGTAAATTCCATATTTAGTCCATAGTTTTATGCCGTTTTACCTATATAGTCCCCACTTATCAAATTTAACAATTATAGTCCCCATTTATGTTTGGTCTTGCCACAAATAGACCTCCGTCAATCCAATCGCTATCTCCCCATTAAAAAAGCAAAAAAAAATAAATCAGAATTAACCCACCATACTCACCATCCTCGTCTGTTCACGCACGGGGGAGGAAACCTAATTTTTTTTGCTTCCCCGCGCCATCGAAAGAGGTCGAAGAAGTGATGTATTCTTCTTCATCCTACTCTCATGGCTGACCTTGAAGGTGAGTCATTTTAGTAGTGAGATTTTTGGATCTTTTTTTGCGACCAGTCCCAATCTCTCTTCAATTAAGTATCTTTTTTGTGTTTCTCCCTTTAAATTTTTGCTTTTATAGTTAGCCCAGCACTTGTTATGTTTTGAAGGCAATAAACATGTGGTTAAAGCTAGCACATGTCAAATTCTGATTATGGTGTCTGAGTTAATTCCAATTTTGTTTTTTTTTTTTGCTTTTTTAACGAGGAGATAGCGGTTGGATTCACGGATGTCTATTTGTGGCAAGACCAAACATAAATAGGGACTATAATTGTCAAATATGATAAGTGGGGACTAAATAGGTAAAACGACATAAAACTAGGGACTAAATATTGAATTTACTCTTTTTGTAGTTTTAATCTGATCTGATTTAGTCTGATCTGATTTGATCTGATCTGATCTGATATGATTAGATTTGATCTAGTCTGATTTGATCTGATTAATTATGATTTGATTTAATATTCAAATCAATAATTTGATTTGACTTTATAATAACGTTTAAAAACTGTAATGATAATTCATATTACTCCCTCCGTCCCAGAGTATTTGTCCACTTTCATTTTTACACACCATCTAATGCACTTCTTTAATCCATTTTATCTTTTAAATTGTATATTAAAAAATTATATAAATTATATATTAATAATCTATATGTTAAGACAAATCAAACAAGATCACACATCACTACATTTAGGCTTACACATTGAGAAAATTTGATGAGTCAAAGTGCTTAGATGAACAGTTCCAAAAGTCAAAAAATGGACAAAAACTGGGGGACGGAGGGAGTATAATATAATAATATTTTTTATTTTATTATTATTTTTTAATAAAATAAAATTAGTTAATTTATATATTAAATAATCATTCATATTATAATGTAATAATATTTTTTATTTTATGATTATTTTTTGGTGAAATAACAATATTGATTTAGTATTTTAATTATTAGTTTATATATACATTAGAATAAATATTTAATTTATATATACATTAAAAAGTAATTAAATTTAGATCATCAATATAGAAAAGTGATAGTATTTTTATTAAAATATTTCAGCGTTATAAAAGATCAAAAGTTTAGAAACTCAAATTACAGGCAACAATAAAAATGTATTTTAAAAGAAGAATTAGATTGACACTGTCAATGTATTTTAAAAATAATGTTTTCGACGTCTAATAATTAAGGATTAATTTCTCAGTTTTCTATTTAACTTGTTTCTAAATTTTACTCTTTTTCATGTTTAAGAATAATATAACAACAACAACAACAACAGCAACAACAACAACAACAACAACAACAACAACAACAACAACAACAACAACAACAATAATAATAATAATAATAATAATCGTAATAATAATAATAATTCTTGATGGGATCTGATCTGATTGGGTCTGGTCTGATCTGATTGGATATGATCTAATGGGATCTAATCTGATCTGATTGGATCTGATCTGATCTTATCTGGTCTGATATGATATGATACGATTTTAATAAGTATGGGAAAACATAAGCTGAACGGAACGCGGCCTAAGAGCAGTGGAAATACCCGTGAAGCCCTGGGGCTTCAAAAGTTCTCTCTCTGCCACGTCAGCTTTAACTTACCTCACAGATTCAGTGGAAATGGGTTTGAAGCCCTGGGGCTTCAAACTGGGGCTTCAAACCTTCATTTTTTATATTTTTAAATATACATCTTCTAAAACTAAATTAATAAAATTTAATTAATTTATTATTTAATTATATTGAAACAATAAAAATAATAAAAAAATACATTCATTAAGGGAGCCAACAGAGTCTGGTCTCCTAGAGTCTTCATCGCTATTGCAAAGAGTACATCCCCCACAACATTGGAAGCCAAGTTTCCTCAGACTTGGCGTGAAAGGGAGCGCATGGTGAAAGATTTTCCACAAGAACGTAACAGCTTCAGATTAGGGAGGTGAAGCTTGTGCCAGATGAACTTGCAGGAGATAGGTAAGGGGAGGGTTGGATGAAGGTAGAGTAGGCACTTTTGATAGAGAGCTGGCCCAAATTCATGATAGCAGATATATACATATATGTACACACACACATAGATATATATATATATATATATATATATATATATATATATATATATATACATACATATATATACATACATACATACATACATACATACATACATACTAGCAGGAGACACACAACGTCATGCAAAATGCTAAAGCCATCAACTATCTTTATTGTGCAGTCAACCCTGATGATTATAGAAAGATATCAAGATGCAAATCCGCCAATGAGATGTGGACTAAACTCGAAGTCACTTATGAAGGTACATCTCAAGTTAAAGATGCTAAAGTTGATATCTTATTGCATGAATACAAATTATTCTCAATGAAGGAGAATGAAAGCATTGATAGTATTTTTGAGAGATTCTCTACAATCATCAACAATCTTGACACGCTCGGAAAGTATTACACCAATCATGAGCTTGTCCGGAAAATTTTGTGTTGTATGACTCTTGAGTGGAAATCCGAGGTGAACGCCATAACTGAAGGAAGAGACTACAATGTCTTAACTTATGATACTTTTCGTGGGAAACTACTCACATATGAAAGTACTACTCCTCATCTACGTGGTGAAGACAAAAGGAGGAAATCTATAGCATTGAAAGCCACCAAGGAAGTTGTAGAGGAAAATGAAGAAGATGATGATGAATCACTTAATTTAGAAGATAATCCCGAACTTGCTCTTGTCATCAAACGCTTCAACAAATTTATCAAGAAAAGCTTCAAGCCAAGGAGAGACAATGGCAAGAAAGCTACACCACCTAAATGCTATGAATGTGGAGAGATAGGGCTTATCAAGCCTTATTGTCCTAAGTTGAAGCAAGGGAAGGACAAGAAGTTCAAGAAGAAGCAAAAAGCATACATCTCATGGGAGAGTGATCATTCATCTTCCGAAACAAGTGATGAGGACGAAGAAACAGCAAATCTTTGTCTAATGGCTACCGAGGAAGAGGTATCTTCTAATTCTTTTTCAACTCCTTTATCGTCTTCAAGTGATTGCTTTTCATTGGATGATTTACATAGTGCATTTAGTGATCTCTATGGTGAATTTCTCAAATCCACCAAAGAAACTAAGCTTGCCAAAGAAGATGTCACATCTTTAGAAGCTCAAATAATTGAACTTAATAAGGAGATGGATTTATTGAAACTTGAAAATAAGAAACTTGGCAAGGTTAGTATTGACACTCCTTGTGCACAATGTAACATCCATGAAAAAGAGATAGCTAGATTGCATGAGCATTTAGGAAAATATAATAAGGCTAGCAAGGACATGCACTTTATAGTTCAACAAGGTGAATATAATAGAAATGGATTAGGATATAAATCTAAGGGACTTAAGAAAATGAACTTCGTAAAAGAAGGAGAAAGACCTTTGGATAAAAATAATTCTAGGGATAATTCACAACGAAAATTTATTAGTAATCCTAAGAAGACTCAATCTAGAACAACACAAACCCCCACTACTTCTAGGATGAGAAAACCTATTGAGTCTAGGAATTAGGTTGATCATAGGTTCACTAGACAACCTAGACAATATCCTAGAAATAGACAACCTAGCAATTTTAGGAATGTAAGGAATGCACCTAGACAACCTAGCAACTTTAGGACACATAGGAGACACTCTAGTCCATATAGATATGTGTATGATCCTAGGGTTGTTTGTCATTTCTGTGATCACGTTGGACACATAGCTCCTATATGTTTTAGGAAGCTTAGATTGATTGCTAAGGATAGGAAGAGGGCACACATTGATATTTATGATGTTCATACTAACACCCCTGGACCCAAAAGGCATTGGGTACCAAGATTTTCTTCGTAGATTCATTAAGGAAGGTGTGCTTGAACACTTCGACTTGAGTTGAAGTAGATGCACCAAGCACATAATTGGGTGAAGCATCAATTAAGGGGGAAGTTGATTCACTTTATTAATTCCAACTAATGTTTATTTATATTTTAGTTGGACAATGTGATCTTATTTGTTTGTTTGATATCTATTTGCATGAGCATATATCTTTTTGCCCATCTCTTTTTGATAATGTCAAAAGGGGGAAGATGGTGTAGATATGCATATATTCAAGGGGAATTGTATTTGTGCATATCTTAATGGGAAGATAGTATAGATTTGTATGTCTTTGTTTGATTTATGATGCAATACTTGAGGGGGAACTAGCCTTGTATGATGCATATCTCCTAATGGGTTTGTCATTATCAAAAAGGGGGAAATTGTTGGACAATGTGCTATCATGAATATGTATTTTTGCAATGTCCTTTGCCCATTGTCTTTTAGGTTTTGATAATGACAAAAGGGTGACAAAACATCATCATCATTTTGTGCATCAAGGCTAAGAATCAAAGTTACAACAAGTTCATATCCGTCCGTAAAGAAGGGACTTGAGCATCGGTGGAAGGAACGAGACCGAAGAGGTTGTTTCCTTAGTTGGGTAGCATTTCAGATCTTAGCATTTCTGTTAAAGTATATATATATATATATATATATATATATATATGTTGAACAACTTACGCACCTCTAGAGGGGGGTGAATAGAGGTGTTTTTCAAAAATCAAGAACTTTTGGAAGAACAAAAATTCGCAGGAGTATATCAACCACAAGAACACAAAGATGAAGAGAAGGAGCAACACACGATGTATCCTGGTTCGGCCTAATGCCTACATCCAGTCCCCGAAGCAAACGTGCCCGAGATTCCACTAACTTCGTCAAACTTAATGGAGTTTGACAATCCGATTACAACTCGAGAACTTGAATTCGCAAGCCTCTAACCTTTTCACTGAAGTCTTGATTTCACAAGACTTAGGATTTCTCTCCAAAACTTGAATTATATCAACTTCAAGTTTTTACAATTCACACACTGTTTCAAAACAAAGTGCACAGTGGAAATACTCTTCAAATTAAGAGTGGATTGCTGTAGAATACAAGAACTTATAGAGTATGGCACACTAGTACTCTTCAAAACTCAAGCAAATATTGATATCTTGAAGAATTGCTTGGAAGTAATGTTGAAGGATCAAAAGTATGAATTGAATTGCTTGGATTGATAAAAGAATATGTTTGAATGGATATATATAATGTTCTTCAAGCAAAAGAGCCGTTGTAGGTGAGTTATGGAAGATAGGGATGGATAACTTCCTTTAAAACTGACAAAACTGCAGTTTAAACTGACGACTTATTCGAATAAAATCATATTTATCCGAATAGGACAGAGCGAAGAACGCAGACTTATTTGAATAAATTAGGGTTTATTCGACTAAATCACTGTAGGATTGAAGAAATGAAATTCAGGACTTATTCAAATAAACTGCTATTTATTCGAATAAGACAGAACTGAAAACTCTTACTTATTCGATTAAAACAAGACTTATCCAGATAGTTCTCACAGTTTTGAAAAAGTTGTTTTGCAAAAGATTTAAAAACAATTTGAAGGGTTTTTGGAAAACATTTTCAAGGAGGGAAAAACAACTAACGTGCCATACACTTTAACAAAAATGCTAAGATCTGAAATACTACCCAACTAAGGAAACAACCTCTTCGGTCTCGTTCCTTCCACCGATGCTCAAGTCCCTTCTTTACGGACGGATATGAACTTGTTGTAACTTTGATTCTTAGCCTTGATGCACAAAATGACGGAAGAGGAAAACAAAGACCAGGAGCAAAGAATGGAATGTACATGCTAAAGAAAGAAATCAAGAATTCTTATCTAGTAGAAATTTGCAGATGAAGAATCTAAGGGAAGAATACAAGGAACTACACCTCGCTGAACGAGAAAGGAAGAAAATGACGACGATCAGTGGAGATTCAAACACATATCCACTGCGAGCAATGCCTAATAAATATCGTTGCTTCTTGGGATGTGAGTGACATGTGAATAAGCTCTGTAAAAAGGAGATGGAGAACAAACAGGAAAAAGCCCAAAGGAGACACAATAAGCTCTTATAAAACTTAAAAAGACACTACAAGAGAAAAATCATTTCTTAAAACCAAAACTTGCAGCACATTTAACCCTACTTCTTTAAAATCATATATATGTTCTTAGTCTTTTAAATTCTTGGATTTACAAATTCAAATTAATTTAAAATTTTAGTTCGTTTTCTTTAAGTTAATCGAGAACTAGATCATTTAAAATAATAACTGAGCATCAAGGAAATGAAACTATTTTTTTGCAAAGGACCAAATTACTATAACAAAAATGTCTTTCATGCTCAAGATGTAATCAATAGTTAAACTCAGCACCATATAAGGAAGGCTAAAAAATGTCAGGATCCTATTTCCAAAATTAAAAGTATTTAAAAGAAAACAACGGCAATCTCTAACAACAACATAAACCCTAACTAAAAAAAATAAACTACTTCAGCTCTAAAATCAACTCTTATCGGGTAAAAGGAATAGAAGCACGATCTATCGACACTTCCGAAGTTGCTATGAATAAAAACAATGTCAATTTTAAACAAATTTTTTGTTTTTAGGGATTTCTTCTTTACCTTGCATTGAAGAAATAAGAAAGAGGGGGCGGTATAATTACCAACACAAGAAGCAGGTGGATCGATGGAGACGAAGGAAAATGAAGAGAGTGGAGGGCGGTGAGACGGTAATAAATAGGTAGTGTGTGGTAGACTCTAGGAGATGCACAGTAATTTGACGGAAAGAAACGGAAAAAAGGCCAACAAACGGAGACTTAACAAGTTAGCCACTTACTCTCTCCGTCCCAAAAAGAATTTCATACTTTGATTAACGTGTAAAACCCCGTGGATTTTAAAATGATTTTATTTACAAATTGGTAAGAAAATTACACATAAAAAAACTTATATTTAAAAACTACATCGAAAACTCTACAAAATAAGAGGTGACAAGAATATTTTATTTTATCAAATGATTAATGAAAACACGCAAACAAATAAGAATTATCGAGAGGCCGTAATAGTAAACAGGAAAGACTTTTTGGGACGGTGGAAGTATAATTAAGTTAGCCTCTTATATAATACTCCCTCCGTCCCTCATTTTTGTAAATAATAAGAAATACCCAAACAGCTCGAGAATAGTAATGAGCCGTTAGCCTTGGTATGCTTAATCTCATGTTTTGATATTAACAAATAATTTCATTGAGCTAACGTTTGTTCAAATGTGTAGAAACGACAAAATCCACTAAAATGCGTTGATTGCGTCAATTCGTTCGCTCACACAGGACTATCATAGAATAGCTTAGAGTCATTTATTGTTAAAGATATTTGAATGATATATCTCTAAGCTCAAGCTAAATTTTGCACACACATAAAAATGATTTTTACTTAGGTATTTATTTTTAAAATACATTTGGTAAATATTTTCGAAAATATAGTTTTCAAAATATTTAACTAAAGTTATAACTCTTCTCAATACGAGATCGTCGGTTCTTGAATTACTCAATTCCGATTAGTATTGAAAAAGTTATTAAAAAGTTAAAAATTGCGCACAGGGTAACGAACGGTCGATGTGGTAAACCGTTTTTCCAGAACGGTCGACCGTCCTAATGACCGTTGGCGGAATCTGAACGTTACCCCGAACGGTCGACCGTTTGGTCAGAAACGGTCGAGGTGATGGACCGTTCGGAGACCAGATTCCTTATTTCTTGTACTTTTCATTCCCAATGGTTGGATTATCTTAATTATATTATTAGGAGTTGATTATTCTTCTCTAACAGCTATTTTTCAATTTCAAACAACTCCTAATCCATCCCTATAAATACCCAAACTATTTCAATGTTTTGAATCAATCAAACTTTGCTAAAATCTCCTAATTCCTTCTTCTTGTGTTCATAAAAATCTCTGATTTTTATTAGGCTATTAAAGAGCTATTTCTTCAATATATTTTCTTGAACACACATTGAGCTTGATTCAAAGAGATATACACTCATATTATCTATAAGAGAGTTGTAATTATTAGAGTGTATAGAAATCATCACACCAACCTAACCTTGTATTTCATATTATTGAGGTGGTGTTGATTCATATTATTCAAATTTCTATATCTCTTATAATCGGTCAAAGATATCCGTTGTAAAATCTTCATTGAACGGTTGGAGATAGCCGTGGTGAAATCTCTGGAGGCGGTCAAGGACATCCGTGAAATCCTTGTTGAGACGGTTGGAGATTGTCGTTGTAAAATCTCTAGGTTGAAGACATCCTGCAAATCTTCGGTGCACGGTTGGGGATAGCCGTTGGAAAATCCTCAAAACTAGTTGGATACTTCAAGGCGTGAAGTATTGTCGATCTAGTGTAAACCTATTGGCAAAGGTTTGTTTGCCAAAAACTGGTTCAGTCGTGAGGATCCTGTTGAGATGGTCAAGGCGTTCTAGTGGATTGAAAATCCTTAAGTAGGAGCCTTAAGGTACTGGAGTAGGGAGTTCCTGAACCAGTATAAAATCAATGTGCATTTACTTTACGCTTTTTTTGTGTTTTATATATTGCTTCCGCATTTGCCAACACCGTTTTTGTTCAACTCCGAAAAATTTTCAAATGCCTTATTCACCCCCCCTCTAAGGCGTGGGCACAACGAATAAACCGAATAACACCCCATTGAATATGCAAGCAAAATATGGACCCCATAAATCACAATGAATAAGATCAAACAATGCATTCGCTTTATTAAGACTAGGAAAAATTGGGAGCGTGTCTGTTTGGAAAAGAAACAAATATCACAAGACTGGAAATTTTTAATTTCAGTATTACTCTTATTAAATGGAGGTAGAGACAAAACTTGAGGAGAAGGATGACCAAGACATTGGTGCAATAAGGAAACAGACTCGGCTTTGGACGCTTGGGCTTGAGAAGGAAAGACATAAACCCCGTTGCGTGTGCTTCACATTGACCAATCCGCGTCTTCGTAGTCCGGTCCTGTATCACACAAGAATGATCATCAAAGAAAATATGACAGTTATGTGAGTTAACAAGACAACTCACTGATATCAAATTACACTTCAAATTAAGAACATAAAGAACATTGTGTAAAATTAAAGAAGGAGACACTTGCACCTGACCACAAGAATTTGCCACCACATGAGCCCCATCGGGCTAGCTTATAGTACAAGGAGGCCTCTGCACTATGTCAGTCAAACACGAAAGCACCCCTGTCATATGATGAAATGCACCACTATCCACGAGCCACTCACAAGGCACAATAAGAGACATACTGTGCAATTTTTCAAGAGTAGATGTGCAGAATCAACAGAGAAAACACAGGGCAGCAACAAATACAAAAGAGCAGCCAGATTGTAAAACTCCCCCTCAAAAGAAACAGGGCCAAATTCAGCAGATCAACAACCCATTCCCCCTCAACCGATCAACAAGATATCAAAGACAGAGTAAAACCAAAGAAAGAAAAAAATGGCAGCAACACATGATATCAAATTGGCAACGCACACAGCAAAATATCAAATTGCACACAATATCAAATTGCATACTTTAGCAGCCCATGATGTCAATTGCACGATCAAATTAGCAGCACACACAAAAAAGAAACAATTAAAGGCATAAACCAGCAGCGCACGATCATATCTTCTATTGAAGAGGAGGAGACTGTTCGGCGAACACACAAGGAACACGGTGTCGGACGATCGCACACACGCCGGAGAGCAGAAACACATGTAAGGCTAGGGTTTAGGCTCCGATACCATGTAGAATTTTAGTGGAAATTGATCTGTATTTCATTAATCGTGAACTGATATAAATACAAGTACAGAAATGGGCCTAGCCCAATATGCTACAGTAAAACCTATATACAAATATCCGCTAACAGATTTTTTTGCTTTTTAGTTTGTATGGAAGAACCCAAGTGGGGGAGCCTAATTTCTATGGGGGTATAAGTGTTATTATACTTTGAATAAATGAGGGTGCTAACAATATTAGTAAACATTTTTTTGAAAATCACTGGGGGCAAGTGCCCCCATTCCTTTGAATGTACATCCGAGAGTATACATTGCTTATTAGGTAAACGAATCCAAATTATGTGAGTCTGCATGCACGTGCCTATGCAAAGCTTGAAAAATGGTAGTACTATCATATTAAGAAAAATGGTAGGTTACCTTTGTTAAAAGTTTGAAAAATGGTACTACTATCATATTGAGAAAAGGCATAACCACTGATGTTACATGCATATGCAAAACATAACCCGTGATTTTAGAGCTTGTGATGCATTTTGGACCTGTTTCAGAATAGCGTCAGAGATTAGCGTTAGCGTTTTGAAAAAGTTGTCAACGGCCAGCGTGCGTTTTCAAAACAATCTGCACCGTTAAAATTTTATTCAAAACGTCAACACTAATCTCTAAAGCTATTCTCAAATGATCTAATCATAATAAGGAGAAAAACACGACCTCATAATATATATGTTGGACTATATATATTAGAATATAATAAATTTTGGTCTACTTCAATTCCTTAGAGCACTAGAAATACGTATGAAGCCCCGGGACTTCAAATGGGGGCTTCAAACTTTCTCTCTCAGCTACGTCAGCTTTAACTTACACAAAAAATTCACTGGAAATGGGTTTGAAGCCCGAGGGCTTTAAACTGGGGCTTCAGACCTTCATTTTTTATATTTTTAAATGTACATCTTCTAAATTTAAATTAATAAATTTAAATTAATTTATTATTTAAATTAATCGCAATGAGACTAGTGCATTAAAAAAATTACATCCATTAAAAAAATATTACATTCATAAACAAATTACATTCATTAAAAAAAATTACATTCATAAAAAATACATTCATAAAAAAATTACATTCATTAAAAAAATATTACATAATAAAATTAACACTACAAAAGAATCACTAATTATTCGAGCGACTAAAGATATGTTCGATCAAATCCGCTGTTAGTGCATTGTGAATCTCTCGGCTTCGAATGTCTTGGAGGTTTCTTCGTTTCTCTTCTTTCGTGATTTCTTCGTACATGGGCACCTCCTCGTCCGGGTTGTATTGACAAATCGCAGTCCCGTTGTCCTCTATGATCATATTATGAAGAATAATACATACGTACATGATATTCCTTATTTTCGTTTGAGAATAACATTTCGACGGACGATCTAGAATGTGCCATTTACCCTTCAAGACCTCAAAGGCACGTTCAATATCTTTTCTCGCCGCCTCTTGAGTTTTTTTGTAGGTCTGGCGTTTAAGACCCATTGGTTCGGAGAGGGATTTGACAATCGTAGAATAATCTGGATATATTCCATCGGCCAAATAATATCCACGCTTGTAAAGTATCCCTCTAAGCTCAAAGGAGGAGTCGGGTGCGGTCTCATTAATCCAATTGTTAAAAACAGGCGATTGATCGAGAACGTTGATGTCGTTGTTCGAGCCCATGACCTTGAAAAAAGCATGCCAATTCCACAAGTCATTCGAAACAACAACTGCAAGCATAATAGTAGGCTTGGGATGATCTTCCCAGGAGAATTGACCGTGCCACGCTGTGGGACAATTTTTCCATTCCCAATGCGTGCAATCAATACTCCCAAGCATGCCGACAATGCCGTGTTTAGTGGCATGCCTTGCGTGCAACTGCTGGATGTCGCTCGCTATAAGCTTGCGTAAATATCTTTTATGATAAATTTGAATAATAGCTTAAGAAAATTTATAAACACAGGAGTATGCGTCAGTGCACTTCTGGACGCATACCCGTACGCCAACTGACGGAGCGCGGCAGTGCACTTCTAGACGCTACTAAACCTGCGTCGGCCTCTCGCATCAAAGCGTTGGGTGAACCAAGGAACCTCGCGTTCAACATCGGCGAGAATGCGTAAAAAGAGAGGACGACTCATCCGAAAACGATTACTAAAATCCTCCGGTGTACAAACACACGGATTATTAAAGTAGTTGTTTAGAAGTGAAGCGTGGGCGGCAGCTCGATCCCGGTTTAAACGTTGTCGTTGGGTCCGTCTTCGGGATGACAGCTTCTTCTTCGCCTTCTTCCCACCATTGAATACAATTCGTGGCGAAACAATGAAAAAACGCTTTTTTTCATCGTTGGATGAAGATGAACCCGTTTTTAAAATATATTTTATAAATATTTATAATAAATAATAAATATTTTAGAGAGAAGATAGAGAGAGATGTGTGAGAGAGATATGTGAGAGAATGATTTTTTAAGGGAATTTATAGGTTATTTTTTTAAATTTTGATTTTTTTAATTTGGGGGGGGGGGGGGGGG